CCCATAGTGCATTGTCTCCCAATTACAAAGTGTGAGACGAATGAGAGAGATACAGACAGAGAGAGCGCAGCGAAAAATGAGAGGGCAAATATGTGAGACACTTGGGTGTTGTTATTGTTGCTGTTCTTGGTTCTTGTTGTTATACTTGCTATGTAAAAACTTTCGACTCGAGCTAACAACAAAAATGTGTAAGCAGGAAATTTTGTTTTTGCTTTTTACGTGCTCTCCTTCTCACTCCCTCTCACAGTAGCCGCAGTTGGTAGCAGTGGCAGTGGCTGCGGCAGCAGCTGTTGTTGTTGTTTGTTCGCTTTACTTTTAATGATTAAATTGTCGAAAAAATTTTGCTGCTGGCATCTGTAACGTCAAAAGTCAGTGAAACATCAGACGCAGTTGCGGGCTCTGTGCAAGTTTTGCATACACACCCACACACACACACACACACAGCCACATACATATGCAATGAATTGTAAATTTAACGCGCGCTTAACTGTATTCACCCTCCGCTTGCTCTTGGGTCTGCCCAAGCTGCCTTTGGACACGGCTGCCAATTTCAATGCGCAATTACTTGGAATTTGTTTGAAGTTGAAGCAAAGCGGCTGCAAAACTTTTCGCTCTGTCCCAACACACACACACACACACACAAACACACACATACGAGTGTACATTAAAAATTTAATTAGAGTCCTTGCATAGTACTGAAAAAAGTGTGGGAGCATTCTTAGCATGTGTAGTCGATCGCAGAATACCCTGTAAGCTGCGTGAGTGGCTTGATGTGACTCTCAAGCTGCTTGCGTACCGCAATGAATTGCAAACTGTTGTTCAGATAATTGGCGAGGCCATGATACTATAGATACTCCAGCTGCAGTCAACTCGCTGAGAGAGTTCTCTCACTAGCAATGCATACAACCAATATACCCGCTCTCACTTAGCACGCAGCGAACAGTAACAAAAGAAGAACCAGCTTACAAGGCAAATTGCAGAAAAGCAAAATGAAATTGAAAATCAAAACAAATCGAGCAAAAGTTACCAACAAATTGAGTTGAAATACGAAACGTTCACGTTGCATGCTGTTGTGGGGAAGGGGGGAGGGGGGCATGTTAGGCTGAGCTGCCCGATGTATGTAGAAACGATTGTTGTTGACGTTTATCTCTCATTCTCTCTCTCACTTCCTATCTCTCTTTCTCCCTCTCTCTCCCTCTCCCACTCTCTCTCTCTCCCTCTCTCACTGTGTGTGTGCGTGTTGCCGAGTTGCATAAGCCCCTTTGATAGCTCGCAGATTAAAGCCGCCAAACTGCAATCGGCGCTCAATGCGAATGAGCACTGTGTATGTGCGTGTGTGTGTGTGAGTGACAAAGTCCACGTGCCTGTCTGTTGGTGTGTGTGTGTGTGTGTGTGTGTGTGTGTGTGCAAAGGGCGGCACAGTGAGCCTATTTGATCTGCTGCGCGTCCTTCGGCTTACGCTTTGTCAAGCTGTGTGCTCGCTACGTAAAGGGTTTCGCTTCTCCCTCTCTCTCAGCCTCTCTCTGTCTGTTTGTCTTGTTTGTTGCTATAACGGTGTCCAAGCAGCTCAGCGACGACGTCGACCCAAAGCCATAAATAACGACACGTTGTGCATTTTGATGTGGCTGAAGGACTGAAACAGAAACAGAAACTGAAACTGGAAAGGGAATTGAAATGGGAACGGGAACGGGAACGGGAACGGGAACTGAAACTGTGACTGTGACTGAAACTGAAACTGTGACTCTTTAGCCCAGTTTATGGGGCACGGGGGCTGGGTGGGCGCTTATTGCGGATTGGACTCTGGTCACACTCTGGCCGTGATTGCGGCGCCCTTTTACGCATCATCGATTGACCCGCTGTGGCCGTAGCGGCAGTGCGAAGGGGACGGGGCTATATCATCATTCACATCAGCTTTGGGTTTAACTCCACTGCGTATTTACAGCTTGTGTAAAGTGTTTTATTTTCCAATATTATTTCTACCCACACACACACACAATCTCTCTCTCTCTCTCTCTCTCTCTCTCTTTCTCTCTCTGTCTCTCTCTTCATATAAGTTACTATGGCTGGAAATTGATGTGAATATGTTATAGATATCTTCATTCATATTGCATATCCAATTGCACGATTAAGGATCAAAACAACATTTTTCGCTTAGGTATTTTCAACCCTTCTCTATGTGTGTGTGTGTGTGATTGGTACTTGGGTCAGCTGTGATTGGCACTTGTGCTGCATGTAAATGAGCCTCGAATTGCGTGTAAATGGATTATATATGAGTCGAACCCATCGTAATACCAATCGAAATGGGGCCTACAGAGCTCTACTTGCCTGTACCCAATTCCTGCCACATATATCGATATTTTTATAGCATTCGATGAATCAAATATTCTATCAAATGAAGCAAAAGAGCAACGTAAATCAATGCATTTTTTTTTCTATTATTTTCATTGATTTGTTTTATTTTTTTTCCCATTTTATTGCTGTTGTTGTTGTTATTGTTCACATTCGATTCATAACTCCCATAGTACAAACAATGGAATATTTAATGAAAATATGAGCAAAATCAATTTCCAATTCAATTCAATTCAACAATTTGGCAAACAATTTGTCAAAAGCCATTGTTTTTTTATGCAAATAGTTTACGAACGGGCGTGGGGGGCAACGGGGAGAATGAACGGCAAAAATCTATTGCTATAATAATTGTAGTCGCATGTGAATGGATGGGCCATAAAATAGTACCAGTGTTGTAAAGCGACGAACGTATTTCAATTAAAGTATGAATAAAAAAATAAATGACAAATATTACGTAATTTATTCAGCAAAAGTGAAACAATTAGGCTGGGATATATGGATATATATAGGGGCTCATATGTATATATGGGTATTACGATTTGCAGCTAGATCTAGCTGAGATTTTGATTTAAGTGAAGGTTTACAGGGAGTTGGAAAGAATAGAAAGAATATTTTACCATTTTTTATTTTTTTTTTAATTTTTTATTTTTTAATATAAATAAAGTCAGGATAACATATAACATAGGTCTTTACACAGTCAAAGCTTTTAAGCATATTCCTTCACAGACACACTCTCTCTCTCTCCCTCTTCTCTCTCTCCCTCTCTCTCCCTCTTCTCTCTCTCCCTCTCTCTCTCCCCTCTCTCTCTCCCTCTCTCTCTCTCACACACACACACATCAGTTTCGGTTGTGTTGCAACGTTTGCTGCATTTGTGATGAATTTTGTCAGTTTTGGCACTTTCATTGTTTCTGTTACGCGCGGCGTTGCCAGACTGTTCGTGTTTTGTTGTCATTTTGCTTGTTTTGCTGTCTCCGACAAAAGCTGAAATGCTGTTTCTATTGCCAATAGTTTTTATAGCGCAGCTAGAAAATTGTCGGTATTTTTTTTTGTACTTTTTTTTTTATTCTATTTAGCTGTTGATTATTTGTTTGCATTTTTCTCTGCTCAAATATTTTAACAGTTGCATTTTTACAGTTGGTATTTGTTTGGTATTTTATATTGGCTGTGATTGAATTGGGATTTGTTTGTGCTTTGAAATGAGTCACATGCTTGACTTGAAAGAGCGAGAGAGAGAGAGAGAGAGAGGGAGAGAGAGGGAGAGAGAGAGAGATGAAATGATATCTGGCTCAACTCATGTGAATTTCGTCAGGTAGCTAAAGCTTAAAACGAAATCAAAGTGGAACGGTATATGCAACTGTTTGTTAAATTGCTAACATGAGCTTTGCCAGGCAGTTGAAATCCCAGCAGTGATTAGCATTTGCCAGAAGAACGTAAAGTTTGAGCAATTAAATGCTTCGAGTAAATACTTTGGCCGAACTTTGCAGCAAATTGGATAAGTTGATGTGAAATTTGTGTAATATTATGAAATTTGAATACTCTGCCCAAGCTGCGATTCGAAATGTTGCAAAAGCGAAGCCAACTCGGTTAACACTTTGCCCGCGCGTTCGTTCGCTGTGGGCGTTTTCGCTTTGGGGGCAGATGCCGTAACTTCTCCAGGGGCTTCTCTCTCTCTCTCTGTCTGTCTCTCGTTGCCCCTCACTCCCCGCTGGCTCCGGCTCTTGGAGCGCTGGCATTTCCTATTTATGGGGCTTCTCAGCTGTTTGTTTGTTTGCTCGCTCGTTGAGTGGAGTTGGCATCGATGGACGTGATGGTGTGGGCGTGGCAAGTGTGTGGGCCGCCTGCGTCTCGTTGCTTATCTCTAAGCTCTGCTTAACGACGCCCACAGAAGACAATAAAGTTGCTTCCGGTTCGCCGTTATTTTTGTTCTGTTTTGTATTTTTTTTTTTACCGTTTGGTATTTTTGCTGTTTTCTTAAATTTCACTTTTGTTTACGTTTTTTCCTTCCGCACACAAAGGGAATCGCAAGCCGAAAAGATATTGTTGCATACCTTCAGGCGACGGCCAAAGGGTAGCGAAGAAAGTTCTCAATCGTAGTATACCTACCTAGGTTTATGTATATAGAAATGTAAATATGTATATTAGTGTAAATATGTATATATATATATTATATTCAATACAATACTCATTCATGAGTTCAAAGAGTTTCTCTGTGTTGTCCAATCTCCGTTCGTCTGCCTATATCTAGTGCCTCCATTGAACTAGGAACCTGAAATTTGGAATATATGCACTCAATACTTGGCTAAATTGAACAATAAATATGTTTTTCCAATATTTTGTAGATAGAGTTACGAAGTTAATGCTGAATGAAGACTTATCTGTGAATGGGTATTAAGCAGTCGGTAGTAGCCGACTGCAACTTGCTTATCTCTTTTATGTATTATATTTATTCTGCTATATATGTATATATATATATATATTTGTGTATGTGTAAATGTATGCGTATGTATGCTGTTTCAATTCTCACACGTTCCGCACACACGCACAGCGCAAAAGAAATAACAAAATTTGATCAAGAGAATTATAAGTGATATATATAGATATATATATATTTGATAACCCTATATATATATATATATCTATATATTAAACAGCTTTTAAATTATGCAAATAAATTCACGCACAAAAGCCAACTGCGAAAACAACTCCAATTCGAATTCGAATTCGAAATTGATTTAAGTGTTGCATAACAAAGGAAAAACCGTTGAGCAAAACAACGAAGCGAAAAAGTCGAAAATGTGAAGTCAAAACAAAATGAAGTGTAAAAAGAATCAAGTAAAACAATAAGCGCGAAAAAACACCGCATACACACACACACACACCCTCACACCAACACACAGACACTGACACAAAAGGAACAGCAACAAAAGGCAAACGCGAGGAGAGCAAAGCGAAAGCCAAAACGTTTTCGTCGCGGCTCAAGCTGTAACGGTTAACGGCTCTCGTGCGTCTCACATTCCATTTCGTTTCGTTCCGTTCCGTTCCGTTCAGTTTCGTTCCGTTTCGTTCCGTTTCGCGTTTCCGTTCCGTTTCGTTCGCCGGCTGCACTTCCAATGGCTGTTTGTTCCTTATGATGGAGACATTTCTTGTCCTGGGCCTGTGTTTTATCCTGTACGAAGCATTGGATTTCTTTCAAGGCTGCATCCATAGCAACACGCCCTCACCGAGCGACCAGATCGAGGCCTATCGCCGCGAACTCGACGAACAGCGCCAGCAGCAGCAGCAGGAACAATTTCTGGCCGGCCTCACGCCCCTGCTGGGCGCCCAATTCGCAGCTGCTGCAGCTGCCGCTGCCGCTGGCTCTCAGTCGACGCTCAGCAGCACGCCCACCGCCTCCACAGCGAGCGTCATCAGTGACTCCTACGAGCAGGAGCAGTCGCAATCGCAATCGCAATCGCAATCTCAATCGCAGCAGCCACATTCGTTGAGCACGCCCGGACTGTTCCGTCCGGCCGCACTGGGCTATTACGATCCGGAGGATCCGTTGCATGCCACCTCGTCGCTGCCACGCGACTACTACTACCTGCAGCAGCAGCAGCTGAAGAACAAGGCCAGCTCGAAGTCGCTGCTCTCGAAGTTCTCCGCCACCAATTCCGATAATCGCATCCACCCGGAGGGCAGTGCACACGGCGTGCTCGGGGCGCACGGCTCGCCACACACGGTTGTCACCACACAGCCGCTGCCCGCGGGTGAGTCGGCGGCCAGTTTGGGGCTGTTCGATTGCCAGCCGCAGCTGGTGCCGTTGCTGCCGGCGGCGCCGCTCTTCCTGGAGCTGAAGCGTGCCATAATCAGCACGCAGGCGGCGACGACGGCGACGACGCGTCGGACGAGCAGGAGGCGTTGCCACATCGACGTGAACGAGGAGGAGGACGAGGCGGAGCAGCAGCAGGAGCAGGAGCAGGAGCAAGTTGAGTCGGAGGAGGAGGACGACGAACAGGAGCCGCAACAGGAGACAATTTGTCCACAGTGCGTTGAGGAGGAAGTGCAGCAGCAGTACGACGAGGCAGAGCAAGTGCTCGACCAGGATCCACTCGCCAGCCACGCTACGGATTGCCACGCCGGCGGCGCCAACAGCGAGCCCAACATCTGCGCCGCATCGCAGCTGCCGCGGATCCATCACATCGCCATCGACGACATTGGCATCGGAGGGATCGGGCTGACAGCGGCGAGTGGCGAGCCGAACCACTGCCTGGCCACTAGTTCCAGTTCCAGTTCGCACGCCGATTTTCGTGAAATCGAATGCGAACGCCTGCGACGCAAGTGCGTGAGCGTTAAGCGCATCTATAGCATATCGGAGAAGTTCTAAACTTTCAATCCACTAATCGCAATCGCAATCGCAAATCAAATATCGATAATCGCAAAAAAAAAAAAAAAAAAAAAAAAAACACTCACACGAAAAGCAAAATCAAATCAAATTTATCAAAGCTCAACTCATTTTTTTGTTGGTACAAAAAGCGCTAAACTCACCTTTGCACCAGTCGAATTCAATATCGATAATTATCGATCCAAATCGAGCAATCAAAAATTTTACAATCAAATCCAAATCAAAATCGCAATCATCTATCGCCTCACAGCAAAAAGTAAAAAGAAAAAAACCAAAAAAAAAAACAAAAAGCCAAAATATAAACAACAAAATTCAATAATCGATAATCGATAATCGCAAAACAATGCAAGCAAAATCACAAAATTTCCATCTGCGAAATACCCCACACAAGGTTAGCAAATTATGCTCCAGCACAGCAAACGAAAACGAGAAAAATCTCAAGCTCGATGCGAGCTTCAACACACGAATCGATCAATTTTTGTTCGGAAATAATTCAATCAACTCAAATTTGCCAATCGAATATTTTAATTTCTTGCACTGTCATTCCAAGAGATTTTTTCATTTGGTATTCACCTTATTCACCACACCTGCCATCACTATTCACCTCGCCACCAGCCTCACTCTGCAATTCTCAAATTGAAATTAGTTTGCTTTGCCGTTCACGAAACATCTCTCTCACATCTGTATATCGCTCCACTCACTCCACAAATGCCTGCTCTAGTCCTTTAAGTGTTTAACCTCTTCTATAATCGTATTTCCAGGCAGGGTCCTCACAGCAGCTGCTTGGTGCGGCCCGATCACTAGTAAGAGACTGTCTAAACTTTAGATTATAGTGCCAATGTTTTCATTCTATTTTGTTTTCGATTCGTCTATGCCCTGAACCCAATGCGATCTGATTTCGAGTTCATTTTATGTTATCGATCACTTTTTTGGTTTCTTAGAAAACGATAAACATTATTATGAATACTCGGAATGTTGGGATATTGAAAGTTGTCGGTGTTTTGTTAAGATTGGGAATTGATTTGAAGTCACTTTTTATTATAAATCGATCATTTTTAAGTCTTATGAATTTTTTTTATTTCACTTTTTTCTATATTTTTATGTATTACGATTAATCGATACAAATTTGATTTCTCTTTAACAGCAGATCAATAAACAGATCATAGTAAATTATAAATAAATATTATAGAAATTAAAAAAAAATATTTTTCAATAGAATTTTTTAATTTGTAATATAGTTTGTTTAATATTGTTTGTTTGTTATAATTTGTTCAATTGAATTTTTTAATTTAAGTTTTTAATTTTTTTTTAATTCCTAATACAGTAGAATCCCGATAATTCGAAAGGACGAGGGGATCAGTTTTTTATTATTTTTTTTTTTACACACAAATTCAAATTATCGATAATTATTGAGATCGAATTTCTTTCAAGCGGATACAATTTTTTTTCGATTTATCGCGATTTTTAATATAGCGTGATACGAATTATCGACTGTACAATTTTATTTTATTTTATTTTATTTTATTTCATTTTTTGTATTAATCCCATTGGGGTTCAGGGTATCGCCTAGTCGGTCAAAGCCGACTAGAGCACTCCAAATTGTTCCACCCATAAATAAAGTGTACTTATATAGGTAAAACGTTGGCTTTTGTTGGATATCTTTTTGTACAACATGCAATATTTATTTACAGAACATGCATCTATAATTAGGGCGTATTTCTTTCATCTCTCTCCCTCTCTATATATATCTGTCTTTCTCTCTCTCTCTCACTCGCTTCGTTAGTTTTCCCTGGGCAAATCAAAGTTCACTTGTTGTTTAGCATTGAAGGCATTTTTCGAACAAAACATATTCATTGAGCTCTGCTGTTGTTGTTGCGGTTGATGTTGTTGTTGTTGTTGTTGTTGTTGTTGTTTTCTGGTTATTGTGTTTATGATTCAGTTTTGCTTCACAGATTTCTCTATTCTCGCACTCGTTGTATGCCAGCAAAATGTTAACTAGCTTAAGCTCAATTCCCAGACCCCCACCCCATTCCCATTCCCATTCCCTTCCGCACCCCCCCCGCGCCCTCACCATCTCCATTCCCATTGAATCCTGCAGCTGCCGCAAGCGGCTTTTGTTTGTAGCCAGGCAACTGAAGTCTGTGTGTGCTCCAACTCGCCTCGACTGTTATGCAAAGTAAATTGTATATAATTGTTGGGCACTCGCACACACTCACACACACACACATATGTATGTATATTCTCTGTACACTGCGGCTCTGATAGCGCATTATTATCATATCTTACAAATTGTCGCTGCAAAGTTGAAGCTGCTGGAGCCAAAGCTAAAAACTTCGTTGAGATTTTTCGAAATTTATGCAAATGCACAAGCCTCAAGTTGAAGCTGTGTGTGTGTGTGTGTGTGTGTGTGTGTATAGGTACATATGTATGTAGAGTGAGCTACATGTAGTATAGCTGTATGCCAAGTAAAGTGCTGGACATTGCCATTTAGTGGTATTCACAATATTTTGAAAACAGCTTGAAATGAAGAAAAAAAAAAAGCAAATAAATAAATAAAAAAAACAGGGAAAAATTAACTTTAAAAATATTTGTATATATTTTTTTAATAGAATTTAAAAAAATTTGAAATTCACGCTCTGTTTTACGCTCTGCCTCGCTCCCTTCTTTTTCTACCTCCCTCACTCTCTCATACGTCTTTCTCTTTTTCTACCTCGCTTTCTCTCTTTCTACCTCGCTTTCTCTCTCTGTCTCTGTCTCTCTTACTCTGTCTCTCTCTCTCTCTCTCTCTCTCTCTCTCTCTCTCTTTATCTCTACCCCCCCCTTTCTATCTTTCTGTCTATTTATTCTGCTCTCTCTCTCGTTGTCTCATTCTCTCTTTCTCTCTCTTCTACCTTCCATGCTCTCTACCTCCCATCTCATTCTCTTTGTCTAGCTCTCTCGCCCTCTCTCTCTTTCTCTCTCTGTATCTCCCTCTCTCTCATCCCGTCTATCTCTTTCTCTCTATCTATCTCTATCTCTACTTCTCCTTTCTCTCTCTCTATCTCTATTTCTCTCTTTCTGCCCCTCTGTATATCTCTCTCACTCTGTCTCTCTCCCTCTCTTTTCTTGTCGCTCTCTCTCTCTCTTTCTCTGTTTCTCTCCGTCTCTCTATCTCTACCGTTCCTTTCTTTCTTTCTATCTACTTCTAATTCTGGCTTCAAGTTGATCTCTTTGACTGCCTTCGCTTCTAGGCTATTTATTAGTCGAGCATACCCGCTGCTGCTACTGCTGCTGCTGCACACTCGACTCATTTTGCGCAGCTTGTGTGAATCCCTTTCAATTATTCGATATGTGGTAGCATTTACTGTTTGCTTCTTTTCTTAACTTAATATACATATACATATTCATACATACATATTCATACATACATACATACATACATACATACATACATACATACATACATATGTATAGATAGATAGATGTGCGTATTTTTTGCTTTCTTTGCCTCAACCCTCAACTTTTGCTTCCTTTTCATTTCATACACGCAATCACACACACACACACACACACACACTCACACACACACGCACTTTCGCATAGCCCTAAGACCCGCATTATTTTTCATTTCCTTCCACTTGCTCAGCTCCTGTTGCGACTGAGCTGCCATCGATTGTTCGCCTCTCTCTCTGTATGAGTGTGTGTGTGTGTGTGTGTGTGTGCGTGTGTATTGGTGTATGTTTAGTTAAGTCCGCGTGGCTCACATTCGCGTCTATCCCTGGCCAAAGTCCGCAAGTCCTTACTAGTCCTTGCCGTTCACCCCGCTCCTCACTGCTCTTCCCCTCTCTGTCTCTCTCACTCTCTCTCTCTCCTTTCTCAATGCTCGTAATCTTTTGGTCTTTTCTTCATCATCGTTTAGCTTGATGTGGTTTTGCCCCCGACTTAATCAGTTTTACTATTGTTTGTTTTTACTATATACATACCATATTCCGGCTACTCTCTCTCTATGTGTGTGTGTGTGTGTGTGTGCGAAGCATTGCTGAATTGCTGCTGGCCAGCGCAGCTGCTGGTCCTCTTCTGCTCATTCTTCTTCTTCTTTTGCTATTTCTCATTCTTGCCGTTGTTGTTGTTTGATGTTGCTTTGCTGATTGGGTTCAGTGGTTGGCTTGTTGTACACTAATACAGAGACACACATACACTAACACACTCACACACACACACACACACATGTCACAATGGCGCGTTAAAAAGTTAGCTTCGCCTTTTTGGTGTAGAATAGCTCTTGCTGCCAATTATGTTGCATATGTGTGAGTGTGTGTGTGTGTGTGTCTGTGTGTGTCTATGTGTGTGTTTATGATAGCTGCCATGACAGTTTAGCATTGCTATTATATGAAGAAGACCAACAGCAACAACAACAACAACAACAACAACAACACACACACACACTCACACACACACACATGCTCACCCTTGCACAAGATTCTCTGGCGACTCATAACTGCTTCATCATTGCAGCCAAATATGCCAGTGACTCTCAAACTGCAAGGCCAAAGCAGCGCCTCCCCAACTGTAGGAGAGCAATTGAGCTGAATATCTGAGACTGACTTTACCTATTTATCAATTAAAACGATGACTCTCAAACTGTGCAGATGAAATTCCATCGTGAGTCTCAAACTGTAGAAATGAAATGTAATGCTAGGATGTTCTTCTCAAACTGTACAAATGAAAATCATGTTTTAGATGTGCCTCTCAAACGAACGGTCGAGTTAAATTCCAATACGTGACTCTCAAACTGTAGAAATGAAATTCCATATGTGTGCATGGCTCTCAAACTATCAAAATAAGATTCAAGATACAAGATATACCAGATTCTCAAACTGTAAAAAGCTGCTCTCTAATACTGTCCAAAGTGCTGCTTAAACTGTATAGCTTAATACGTGCCGCTCAAACTGTAGTAATCTCTAATGAGATTTTGATTTGCCTTTGCAGTTGCATAATATATTCTAGGAACAGCAGACAGATAAATTTATATATGCATATATCTATATATACCTATATATACCTATATATATATAATATATATATATAATATATATTTCTGTCTAGCTAACGGAGCTTAGCTGCCAAACGCTCGCCTAGCAACAGAGTATTACAAGATATATATTTACAATAGAAAAGAGCAAAATCCAAGACAGTATTCGGACTCTCACTCCCTCCCTCCCCCCTCCCCCTCTCTCTCTCTCTCTCTCCCTGTCACGGTCTCGCTTATGCTTATGCTTGAGCCGCAGCTCAGACTCAGCTGCGATTGCTGCTGCATGAGTTGCACTTGCCTCAAATCAGTCAAGGGTAATATTCTTCCAGAACATTAAGCAACAACAACAACAACAACAACAACAACAACAACAACAACAGTAACAATGACAACAAGCGAAGCAATGAACCCAAACTGAAATGAAAGCTGAATCACAATTCCCAAGTCTCTGCACCCGCTCGCTACACATCTCTCTCAATCTCTCGCTGTCTCTCTGTCTCGCCCACTCTCTTACTGTCTCGCTCGCATCTGTTTCGCATTCAAAGCCCGAAGCGTATCGAAATTGGCATTGCCTGCCTTTGATGTATATTCATGAATTGTGCACCGACTACAAACTGCGAAACTGCGAACTGCATGCATTCACTTTGATTCACAGAGCTGCTCTCTAGCAGCACCTCCCGCTCCCCCTCGCCCCTCCCCCCTCACCCCTGCCTTATCGTAGCGGGCTCACAACTCATTTGTGCTGACAACAGCCAAATAGAGCGCCGGAAATGCTAGTTTCATAGACTTAAC